CCGTTTCATTGGATTCGACTCAATAATCTGATAGGAAGCACCATCCACACTGTTCTCTTATTATCAGTCAATAAGTGTATCTGAGCCAAGTATATCTGCTACCTTGCTCTAGTTAGGAAGTTACGCGCTGCGTCAATTTTTGATACAACAAAATGCTGGATGGGTAGAAATGCTCAGATTGGGTAACTCAAATGGAATTGCTTTACTTATACACAATGAGTCAAGATTTGAACCATTTAATATCCGTGAGATACTGTATATAGCGACCTTTAACATTCACTACTGCCTTTTCTGAAGTGCAGTCACTACGCTTAACTTAAAAAGAAGGACTACTTTTATGTCTTATTATTTGTAATAGTCATCTTGTATGTTGCAGGTAAAATTGACAGCAGTGGGTTTCGATTCCATATTACGGACCAATTGAGACTGTACAGTGCGGGAGTAATGGAGCTGGGACTTACTTATTCAATTAGGAACTCAATTCCTCCTGGTCAGTCGAAATTCTCTCTTGCCGGCTACTGTAATAGCGAATGTACTCAAATGGTAAGATTTATTTGGTATTAGTCTGAGTGCTAATCACTGCGTTACAGGTCGGCTGTCCCATTGACTGATGCATAGCAGATAATTTTATTGGAGACAATGATCCTAAACGACGGCGAACCGTCAGCTTTTTTAACTGGTCGTATATGAACTATTAGCCACAAAGTTCAGAAATTCTCCCCGAAATTAATTTTGAAGTTCTGTCTCCAGCCTTAACAAGGTGCCCAAAATTGATTCATTTCAGTGGTTTGTTGACTGGTTCGAACGTGAGAGAGCATTGCAATACCGAACCTTTGCACTGATGCTGTTTGCCACTAGATCTGAAAGCGTGTATTCTCGACCAAGTCCAAGTATATTGCAGTGAGGGCTAATACCCAGAGAAGATATCAGAAACAGAACGTAGCGAACAAGTTTGTTTTCAAGGTTTTAGCCTCCCACTGTTACAATCACAGCAAAGAAGACTAAAATGAGCACAAGTGGTTTACACTCGACGAGCCACAGAAGCAGTGTCTATTCGATAAAAATCTACGCTCATCCGTTGTCTAACGGAGAGAACGAGGCTACGTAGAGATGATCAGCTTTCGCATGAGCTGAGCTTTATCCGAAGTGTGTTCAAGCGTAATGGACACCCAAAAAAATTCATCCAGTCGCATGAAACCGAAAGAACCGAAGCCAAAACCAGTTTCTTTGGAGCATTTGTTAATATATATGTTATTACCATGTAAGGGTGCCATGATAGCGACACGGATTACGCGAAGGCTATATCAACCTCGAGAAGGTATTTTGCCGCCGGACTGCTCGGAAGCTTCATCCCAACACCGATTGTGCGCCAGCAACGCAAATAGAGGATATATCGGTCACAGATTTTCTTCTGTGCGTACAATTTCTCTTGGTTGTGTCGTGCAACATATATGGGGAAACGACCGGGCGACTGTCCTTTAGAGCTCGAGAGCATTGTCCAGCTTGGCTGTACAGCGGTGTGAGAAAGCACGTAACGAGTGCAGTGTTGTTGCACATAGTAGACTCCGATCACCGCATCATTTCGCATGACGCCTTCGTACTAAGCTACAGTGTAACCGGAAGTTAAACACTAGTGGTCAGATGCCGCTTACCGTCCATAGAAGAAACGATCGCAGTTCGGCTCCATAAACCGGACCTCTATGAAGATAAAATAGTATTCATCCTAACTCTATTGTGGCCACAGGCCACCACGACTAGCAGCCTCTGACACACTACCATCCGACTTCACATAAATCACACAAACAACGTCGTGTTATCGATCAGACACTGCTTCGGTTACTCAATGCGATTAAACTGCCTCTATTCCGCTTAGGTGCTTGGTTCTTAGCGCCATGCTCGTAACGTATCGAGTTGTTTAAATTCCTAGTTGGGTGAATCAATTTCGGTGGCTAGAAACCTTGCGTATACCAGACGCGAAGCGAAAAAATGCCGGTCTCGTCCTTAACGTGATAGTTCACTTTTTGGCGTGCTATACTTACGAGTCTTTCAAGTGGATATATCGTACGGAGAAGTGTTTTAATAAACATGTGCAGCAGCGCGCTCTGCCAGAGATGGACGCATACAGGGTGATGTAAGATTGGTCTTAATCTCTAACAATTTCTTTTGAATAGTGTCTCTAAGTGTACAAGCTTTCACTGCGACCTTTGTCTAGCAGTGATTAGCGACAAAATACTTCTGACGAACCTAAGTCCCTTCAGTGTATTTACTGTTTCGGTCCAAGCTCTATCTAACCCGGACTGCGAAACACCTGTTTCATCTGTGTACCTGCCAGGGTCCGGTTACTCTAAGTCAAAAGGGAAAAGAAGCCATGACACCTTAACTAAGTTGGCACAAATACCGTTGCTCGTCGGGCCTGCTAATCCAGCCCAAATTCGAAGCCGAATCTCCTGCTCTTCCTCAGAAGGTGCACCACCAACACAAGGCAGTATCAACAAAGACCAGTTGGATGCAACTAAGCCAGAAATGGAGACGAAGAGCTATGCGGCTGTAGCCAGCATATACATTGCAGAAATATCAGCCATGAACCAGGTCGAAAGACAGACGAAGATAACAACAGCTCCAAGGCCTAAAACAAAACAAAACCCGACGCTGTTAAGTCTCATTACTGTCCAGGTCAGTCAAGTTGAAAGCTCATTAAAAAGCCAGTAGTACAAAAGCTAGGTTTCTCAGGAGGAAGCAAAATACCTCTTGATATTCGCTTAATAATTGCGAATGCTCCCGAATTCAACAGAGAGTCATCTGCTGAGATGCTTCTTGACCACAAAGCTTTTGTAGCAGAAAGTATTCATCCTAGTTAATGAATGCGAGCAGAGTATCCATCTCGTCTCTGCTTTTCATCTAGGTAGGAAGCAGGATGATCCATCCAAGACCTGCCCGCTAAAAGTCTTCTTTCAGAATGAGGAAGGATGTTGTCTCATCTGCAGGCGTCCATCGCATCTCAAAGGAAAAATCTTTGTGCTGAAATGCCTTTTTCCAGAAGACGGCTTTAGAATTAGACAAGTCTGCAACAAGCTGCGAACTCGTCGAGCGAACGGTGGCACCGACCATCATATTGTGGGTTTTCGCGTTGTTCAGAAAACCCAGAGAACTTGCTGGAAGGTAATCCTTCTGAGACCCAGTGTCCATGTCTAAATAGCGGATCGGAATGATATTTGCTAATGTTCGCAACCTTAAAATAAGCCCGACAAGATTACTCTTCTCGTTACTACGCATCAGCCAGATGTACTGGCTTTCACTGATACCTAGGTTATGTCTAGAGATTCAGGACGCGATTAACACATCCAAATATCAACTCTCACGAGCTGATCGCTCCTGTGGGAGGACTGGGGGTGGAGTACTTATCTACTCGAGGTCCCGCATCAAGCCACACGTTATCAAAGCTCTCTGCGACAATGGTGCAGTTTCAGACATACCGTGGTGTCGAATCCATCACAGCTATCAATTACACATGGTCTGAATGGTATACTGAGCCTCGTTTTGTTCAGGCGTCCGTCTATTACAGTCAGCAAAAGCCAATGTTAGAGGCAGGAACTATCTGCTAATGGACGACTTCAATGCATCAAGTGTCGACTGGAAGTTTCTTCTATGTGATCTTGTCAACGCCATTCAGGAATACAGTCTGATTCACCATGTCTCAACGCCAACACGTACGATGCCGGGTCAAACACCAAACGTTCTAGATATCGTCCTCACACCGGCGCTCTCTGATGTCCATGCCCTGATAACTTTACAACCACTCTGCCGGAGTGACCAATATATAAGCTCCTTCTTTTAGGCATGCCCACTTGGCATCCGTGACCATGTGACACCTCGTCGTAACTTCTGGCGTGTTGTCCCATCCAGAACGAGGAAGCCCACACCCACACGGATTCGAACCAGCGCCGCAAGATTGCAAGACAAGCTCGTTACCTCTGGGCTACGGCCTGACTCTCCCTCTAGACATCCGTGAACCAATGAAAATCCCGAGAGGGCTCGGGAAGTATCCATTTTAACTAACTGCCGTAAATTTGCAGTGGTCGAATAAACCGGGCAGTCCTAAACCTATTGTATCCAGTTGGTTAAGATATCCTAGTGGAAACTTTGTAGCGCATCGATCCGATATAAATGAACAAGTTGATTAGAGTATACCAAATAGTTTGCCCATACGATTTGTTACCAGTGAGAACTGAATACCTGGAGCACAGTCCCAGTTTGCATGCGATAGGAGTGGGAATTCGATGGAAAGCGTTTGTATCACTCTGTATCCAACACTGAATGCATCCTTAAAAAGACTGGTACATGTTGCTTGCCGGTAAACTTGTTGAAACTTGATGAAATGGTCGCGTTGTACAGCTCCATGCGATGCAACACCATAAATCCCGTGGTTGCTACTTACAGACCACACCCACCGCTTTCACTTGTTCCTGTATTCATTAAGAGTGGCAGATGCTCCCATCTGTTGATGTTACATGCATTAATGAGAATCTACTACGTCACTGGGTTGAGATTCAACTGAACTGACACCAAACGTAAGAATTGCGAAAATGTATGCCATCGCTTAAAATAACTTACTGCGCTACCATGGGTCAGGTGGTTATCTGTTTATTCAATGACTAGGTGGAAAGTGTAGTCTGGATTTCCTGTACTTTGATGCTTGAAGCTTAGTAATCTCTTGCAAACAGGTAATTCCTTAGGGTGTTGGGAAACTGTTAAACAGGACGAAGAAGCAAATTGTTAAGTTGCTCAACTTTGGGGCAGTGACCACAGCAGTTGAATACCACAGCAGTGGAATACGTTGCCTAGAGTTTCAAGATGATGGCAGTCAACACTAGTGAGTGGCGGGCATGGTTCTCACTGAGGCTGGCATTTCCTTTACAGGTAAGCACATAACTGATAAACACAAGCCACCTTTATGGACACATGCAAGCTTTGACCTAATAGATATTTTCTGTTTTTCACAGGCTTTGCCATCTTCAGGGATTTACGTCTTCGCCTCACAGTTACATACACACAGTAGAGGACGAGCAGTAGTCACGTACCATCTCCGTGGTATCGAACGCTTGCGAGATCTAAATAAGGAAGATAACTATTCTGCACACTATCAACCCATCCGCCAATTGCGAACTTTAGTGCACGTAAAGCAAGTGAGTCTGTTATAACGTGTATTTGCTTATCTAGCGCTTCATTTTCAGATTAGAAAAGTGTGACTGACCAAATTCATACATCCTTATAACTTTTGGATCCGTGAACAAAGAGCAATGTTTGGATATAAGCATTCGTCGCTAGAGTGGGCGTTGGTGATGATTTTGACAACGTAGACGAGGATCTGACTGTCTTTATGCACCCTTGAATGTAGATAGTCGATATAATGTTGGAATGCATTTTGTGGAATCCAGCAGCCTCTTATGTATTTGCAGATACTTCTCTTTCCTGTTGCTGCTATGTGAATTGGTGGATGTCGGAAGCTAGTCGAACGTTGAAACACCAAATCAAAGAGTGATCATTCCTGTGTAACCAAATGACTGAGATGACCATAGTGAGGTGTGAAGAGGTCAGAGGCAAGGTTTGGTTTTAGAAATAAGCTTGCCAAGAATAGTTAAACACGTATACAGACTGTAATGTGCATTCCGTTTCCAGAAAAAGAGTAACTATCTAGTCAGTATGTGTCACATGTTGTTCATGGATTAAGTATATGTAATAATTCTAAAGCTTTCGGAACCAGTTTAACCAGAGAGCGAAAGCAAGATGTAGTTAACCGGGGTTTTAGGTGAGCATCGAAAACAAATTCACCGGTTTAAGCATGGTCAGGGAGGAAGCACCATGAGCTACTTGATAATTGGCCAGTAGATGGCTACTCAAGTTAATAAGCAGAGAAGAAGACGTGGAACCACGGTGGTTTATTACCCCTGATGGCTCACGTATTGTATTGATCGATGTGTGCATCACAAAGGGAGAAAGAAACGACTTATAGAAGTCAAAGCCAGTAGAAAAGAGTTTCATCGTGGAGGATTATATGGAAACCTCGGTGTTTGCGCCAGCTTCGGTAGCTCCTGGGTTTATGTCACGTCGTGCAGATGTCTGAACCGGCGTACTGTAGGCAGCTAAACTCGATCCTTCAGGGACAGATGATTTATTCGACAATGCAAGCTCAGTGAGAATAACAGCATAACTGACTTGTAGAAACCTTGAGGCAAATAACCAGATCACTTCCATGATTAAATGCGCTGCAACATTCAAGAGATTCATCCTTCGAACCAATTCTACAAAGTCATTCCCGCACTGCTAAATATTAAGCAACCAGCATATAAACTAAGTTGCGTAGGCATCCAATCATCTGCTTCTTCAATTGCGGTTGTGGTCGATTGATTCGCCTTGTAAATCCGTCTCGTTCCTATGACTGCATAATCCCTTCACACTGTCGATAAACGGAATGTTATAGTGGCTTTACTTGAGCTAACGGGATGGCCAAAGTGGAGAAATATTTCATCTAGCTTAAGAGTAGCGAGGATTTTGGTACAGTTCAGTGATAATTCATCATAGTCCACTCTCAGTCAGCAGGCTTTGGCGCGTCTGGAAAAGCACCAGACAACGCTGTTTCGGCCTTCATCGGTCGCATCAGTGGTTCACCTTCCTTGGACCTCTGCCGGGTTCCGAGTCCATGAATTCCGAGGAAGGCGCATCACTGACGTGAACCAAAACGATCAAAACAGCGTCGCTTGGTACTTTCCAAGACGTGCCAAAGCCTGCTGACTGAGAGTGGACCGTGATGAGTTGCTTTTGGATTTACTTTTAACTATAGCACTGCTGACTGATCAGCCTATGTACGCTCGATCAGTAGTACTGCTAAGAGAGCAGATGGCTTGCGACATAACTTCCAGGCGTAGCCTTTGGGGGACGAACCAGCTCATGTTTCACATTTTTAGGATTTCTCGGGGCTGGAAGGTCACTGATCTGTTAACTTTCCGATATGGCCGTAAACGCGACAGTTGTACTTTCCTGCGATGCTTCTATACGTCGTGTTCCTGCCTTGAAATGAGAGTCGTTACAGGTGCGCAAAGTTTTGAGTATCCTGAATTTTGCGCCCTACGATTCGTTTCGATCATTTGTCTTTGAAAATCCGCCAATCCTAAATTGTATAACTAATTTTGTTACCACCCAGTGATAAATGCACACTAGCAAAGAATAAATTGGATTTGGGTTGGAACTGGGTTGGAACTTGTACGAGCACGCCTACGGAACGACGAAGACGGTGAAGCATGTTGCTTCGACCGTACTTTCTTATCCATTCGTTCTGCTTTACGAGGACGGCGATTCATGCTCAGAAACAAAGGTAGATGTTATTGGAATCAAATGGATTTGTGGATGTTTAGCATGTTCTCTATTCTTCTGCGTGTTAATATAAGGTAAATAACGGAGAAATCCGACAGAATAATGCATTCGATCGCTTTAGTAACAAATAACGGGCTTGATTAACCAACACGAATCGCTTTGTGTGACAAGGTATAGGAACTCTACAAACCTCTTCCCTTGGTGCTGGTTGTGGGTAATACTCAGCGTCTACTGCCACCAGATTAGTCACAGACGTCTGGTAGCAACTGCTATACAGCACCATCTGCAGCCTCAGGTGCTGACTGAATAAGCCCCCAAAGCACTTACGCGTACCTATCACTGCTTTTTTTCTTTTTAGGGAGATACGTTAATCACCAAATGTACTTACAGCACAATCAACGTTACCCACGTGGTCTTTGGCGGTATTGGACAATACGACGAAATGTGCGTAAACTACATTTTCTATTACCCATGGTCGAAGTTGGAGCTATGCAAATCTGAGGTGGCACAACCAGAATTTGACAGGTTTTTGAGCGGTCTGATTGAGTAGGTCACGCAGTGTTCAAATTCATGTGCTTTTTCCTAGTGTTTACATTGGTTTCCTTAGTTGTCCGTCTGGACGAAGTGAATGATTAGCATGTTTCATTAGGTTTATATTTTGAACTGCTCACAAGCAACCAGACTACAGACTATATTCTTTGCAGAGGCCCAATAGCTTGCTCATTGAGAATCACGTGCTTTTCAAGTTTTGTCCGCTGCCCACTAATTTGTGTGGGTTTTATATGGATTTGAAGATGAGCAAGATAAATGTTGGGCTTTAACCACTCGTAACACTGTGGCCAACGCCCAATCTTTGCTTAAGCCGTGGTTCCAGTAACCGAGTGAACGGATACGAAGTTGTCCACTGTCCAGATTGAGATTGTCTATCGTAATTCAATCATTCAATGTATACTTTAAATCACCCTGTAATGAAACAGCTGAAGAATCTCCGGTTTGATCCACAGCGATACTGCCTATCTATAGACACCATTAGTCGTATAGCAGTGACAGTGGCTTTATCGCTGCCATTTGTGGTACCGTGAATGTTAGGTCCAACGGTCACGGGGCATCCAATGAACTTTCAATGAAGCATAGAGTAGGCAACAGAATGAATGTGGCCGATAATACTACTAACACGATGCTTTAGTTTGGACTCCACTTATACCTAAGTTACAAGAACCGATAGTTACTAGCTTACTAGTATGTCAAATGGTAGGTAGAAGAATGAGCTGGTGGGTGGAAATTCAGTTGGCCTGATGGATGACAGATGAATGAATGGATGGAAGGGTTTATAATTAGCATTTTGACTACAATTAATGAACCGAGCAATGGAAAAACGGCTTTATACGGATAAAGAAGCCAATGCTTAACAAGTCCCGTAGGTTGATTATGGTGAAATTTCTAAATATAAAGAGATTGTTAGCAAATTTGGGTTTACACCGGTGTACTTACTGAAGTATACGTAGTTTAGACTGTAAATTTAATGTAAATCCATAAGCAATTACGGCAAATGGGTAGTTGGTAAAAATAGTGTCTTCTTCTTATGTACATATACAGGAGGTGAAAAATGTGGAACGAAATCTGGGCATTCCACGTAAGACAAAGGCGTACGGAAAAGAAATTCCGACGGCATTCCAAGCGATTGTGCTGCTTTGCCATTTTAAGATGGTGGCGTCTCAAGTTGCTGTTGTGACTGTGCTCTACTAAGTAGCGGCACATGTGGTTTAGATCTCTCCAAATCTGGTAGGTCAAAATGAGGTCCGGGCGCAATCGCCGATACCGTCCGCTAAAGACCCCGAGCACTCGAAGCCTTCGTCCATAAGGTAAATTATAAAGACCCTTGACATTCTTGGCTGCCCGGAGTTGGGGTATCTCCAAAGTCATGAGATCCCTGTTCAGCCATGGCTGCCAGACCTGTATTGCGTATTCCACACGTGGCCGTATGTAGGAGCCGAGAACTTGTGGAAAAATAGAAGGGTTGAATCGCTAAAATGCAGGCTTCCGAAAGCCCACATGTTGGATGCCACTCCTAGACGCCGATTCAGCCTGCTTCGAGCATCCAAGGTCGATCTGAACCAAAAGTTCTAGATCCTTCTCGCCAGAAGCCATTTGAAGTTCCTGGTTGCCGAGCTTTTAGAAGTGCACCAACTTGTGCCGTAGGTGCAGCACTCTACATTTGCCCACATTGACCACATGTACGCCCTATCCAGATCCGCTTGAAGTACTGTGATAGTATATGGGTTATTGATCACCTACCAAAGCTTGATGTCATCAGCATAAAGCAGGCAGTTTGCGTTTGTGATGCATGGGATACGTTAATATTCATCAACAATAATCGCGGTCCTAGTACCGATCTTTGTGGTACTCCGCATTCAACTCGGATGGGATCGAACAGCGATTCACGCACACGTACTTCCACACGTCGGTGTAAAAGAAAACTCCTGATCCATCCTGAGAGAGGACCACCAATACCCAAGGTCTGGAATTTGAAGGGCAGAAAGTTATGGTCTAACCGGTCGGGACTAACAGTAGCTTAGGTTTTCTCCAAACTATATAGCAAGGTAGAAAGAATGGTAGATAAGAGTGTAGATGGACAGACAGACAGATAGATGCCGAGAACTACACAGAAATCTGTTAAAAGAAGTCTGTGCATATGGCGGCTTACGTAAAACGAGGATGGGTGCGAGAGTTTTACGGTGAATCCCAACCATCATGAGAGCACAAATGTAGTTAAGTGAGAGTAAGCGTTAACGCAGTGGTTTCAGCCTTTTTGAGGCTGTTATCCACAAATCGGGTTCACTAGAAAAATATTTCCTTCAAAAGCTTACTTTAAAACGCTAATTAACTATGGAATGTTGTACTTTTGTGTTAAATTACGGAAAACAATTACTATTTCTAATTACTTTCAATCATTCAAAGAAAGAAAACCTATTATTGAGCAAGTTAAATTAATGATACGGTGTATATTGACTAGTTCTAACAATTTCTAGTATATTTAGCGCAGTTTCGGCTAATGCTTGTCGTATGTCGTGCCCCAACTTCATTCGGTTTTTTGCTTTGGTGTATGATCCCTGCTCAAGCGTGGACAGATGTTAGTGACTTCCTATTTGACTCGACCATGCCCTCCAGGTCATCCTGGATAACAGTTTCCAGCACCAAACTGCCTCGATACATCCTAAAAATTAAGCGCCTGTTTTGTTCCTTCTATCCTTTAAACATGCGCTCGCCCATTTACCTGGTCGGCCGATCTGTGCTCCTACCGTAGTGATTACTATACTCTGTTATTAAACCCGGCAAAAGGCTGTCTAACACAAAAGAGCAACGATCGTCGAGCTGCGCTGGTTTTCAGGCTCGTATTTGTATTTTAGATAATAAAACTTAGTGCCGGAAATTGTCTAATTCACTACCACTAACTAATAATTAGTCAATAATGGCTAATCAGTAATGATTATGTGGTTAGTAACGTGTCTTGATACAGACGGTTGCGTTCTTAATTTATTTTGGCAACAGATTGATGTCCCAATCTTCGTACTTATATTTACCGCCCGTGAAATCCCATTTTACCGCTTTGGGAATTATTAACCTAAAGGTAAAAACTACTGGGTTGGCGAGATATTGCCTTCTACATTACCCATTTTCACCAGACTAGCATTGTTTGAAGCCGTATTAATCATCAAAACCACTGAACCGTTACTGGTGCTCCGACATTAGCATGATATGGTGCCAGAAAGAAAAAAATCGCCAATGGGTCATCGCTGTAACGAATAATTTATACTTATCTTTGGGCCCGAAATACTCCTGGGATAGATTAGCTTTACATTACCTGCAAATCTCACAGCGGTTATGAAATATAAGTAGCTATTTGCTTAGTGTGTGAGGTATACAGTGTACCACAACTATGCGGAGAAGTGACCTAATCCAAGGGGCGTTTAGATAGGTCGCCGACGATGGGTTAATGATAGAGAGAGGTTGGAAGTGACTGCCTTAGCCTAAAGGTTGCAATCTTGTCTTGTAATCTAACCAAGGGTTGCCGGGTGACTCTCGCAGTCACTAGCCCAGATGCGAACGGTGGTGGCTGCGCGGTAGCGAAGCATCGATACTGCGTACCGGCGTACTGCTGATGCCTGTAGGAACTGACAACTGAATCTTAACCGAATACCAGTGCACTAAATGCATATTACCTCACACTGGTGATAATCAGCTCCCGGCAATAGTTCATACAAATGAAAATTAACCATTCGACAAGTTATGTTGAGTGGCCAGGGTGAACATGCCAAAATGAAAAGATGGTGTCAATAAAATAAGGCAAATTTAGCTGGATTGAGTAACAGATTCTCATTAACACAGGGGAAGATAATCCCGCTTCGATTTCACGAAGTCTGGTGAAAACATCGTCTGTTCTGTGTTTATGCTGTCATTCGATGGGCGCAAGCTATTTCAGGGAATGCAGATGTTTCAGGGTATTTTCAAGTCGCCCTTGAATAGCGATAAGGTTATGCAGTAATTGTTCAAATTGAGTAGCCTACTACTGATTTAAACACTGTAAGGGAACAGTCAATTGCGTGATACTAGAACTAGAAAAAGGGCTTTTCCTAAGCAGTATATTTTACATGATTACATGAATTTTGTCTGATCGAATAAGTGGAGAATGGGCAAAATGCTAGCTGGAAATGAAGATCAAAAATCAACGAAAATATCCTTTTTTGAAAAGGCATTGCTGTTCGAATTTATCTCACGGCTGTCTCAGAACGGAGACTAAAAGCAGTAGATTAGTGGCGCATGCGCGTGCTCCCTTCGCGGTGGAAACTGCAATTTAAGGACAAAAAATAAATTGGGCGATCCGAGTGGTACCTTTGCTTGCACTACCTATGACGTTTGAGATCAATTAAATTGAACGCGCTACTGTGTCTGCTTGTGGCAGCAATTGTTTCTTACCTTTTAAAGCATGTATTTTAATAACGGTGTAAAAATATATTTAGCTGAAAAATCTTTGTATTAAATTTTAATATTTTAAAACTGAAATGTTCGAGATGTATCCATATACCATGTTTCTTTGATGAAGCACCTGTCCCCCAGTTAACTAAGCAACACTATAATTCGGGTAGAAGGAGTAAAGCTTGCAAATTCTCTTAAAATGTTCCGAGAGAAATGCACTAACTAGAAGAAAAAGCTATGCTAACAGGATAAACCGAGTTTCTGTGAATACACCATAACGCTCGCATGAACGCAAACGTAAATACGCCGCACACCATTTCATCTATGTTGGTGAGCACAGCATTGGTTAGTATTCTGTCATCACCCGATGAACGGGAGCCATGGAAAGTAGTGCAATGCAAAATCCAGTCATTTTTCAGACAAATTAACAGGGGCGCATTAATGATATAAGTCGGAAGAGCATTGAACGGTAGACAAACTCGGATGGGAGGAAAGCGCGCAACATTCCAACGTGGGTTATGTTGCGTCGCTAGTTTTAGCTGGTGGCCCTTGAGCTGGGTGCTTCGGCTTTCAGGTGGCAGCGAACAAATCTGTTGTGCCACTCCGATACGACGGCATGATTAGTGTGTTCTTTTCAGCACGGATTTGTTCCGCTCCATCATCACTCTGGGCAGCCACCGTGAACTCATTCGAATCGGATTAACTTCCCATATTCACTGGGCATCCTTTACGGAATTGTTATTTACGTTGCCTTATGCAAGTACTGTGTGCTCTGGGTTCACGAAGACAAGTTAACACAGCAAGAGCTAGTAAAATGACTCGGTTTTCACCACAAGCATTGTCATAGACATATGAAAAACCTTCGTAAACTGCAGCGTGGAATCCAGCCACTCACATCCGTTGGTCGGTGCACACATACAACGCGAGAGGTAGCAAACGCCCTACGGGCTCAGTATTCACCCAACTTTCAAAAAATGCAAGGCTGGAAATTTATTCCTGTTTTAATGCTAAATCATCTGATTTACTCAGCGTCACATTCACTGCAGAATCGGTGCTGAAAAAGCCGCTATTCTTGTGCACAGACAGCTCTCCTGAAGTGGATAGCTATCATTCGAAAGCATTGCAGTCAGCAGCCATACACAAGCTGATCGTTTGCTGGACTCTTTTAGTGCTGTCTAAATGATAACATACTTCCTTCATCTTAGTAACGTGGCCGCATCATCCAGATTCATAAGGGATGAAGTCAAACGGTCTTCGCCCGGAAACGCTTACCCCATGGTCATGAAACCGATCTTGGCAGATGCATATTTAATTTATCTGGAAAACTGCGACATTGTTGCGCCGGAGCTGCACCGGTTTCCTCAGCGACGGTCTTGTAACACGAACCCATTGGATGCACGCGATAATCGGATTAACTCAGTTAACGCAGGGATAAGAACTGATATCTTCCAATTGAAATTATCAAATGCGTTCGATCGCTTAGATAATCGCAACCTGCTCTAATACTTTCGGCTATTTAGCATTAATGATCCAGTATTTGGAAGGATCGGTAACTTACTCCGCAACTGCCATTTGGAAATTACAGTCTGTAATTGTCCGACCCAGTTTGAGTGGGGGAGATGTACCACAGTGCTTTGTACTTGGGGCTCGTCTGTGTCTTTATTAACAAGTTCTTGAAGGTTACTACCTCGAAGTTGAGTATTTTTCGCCGAAGACGTTAGGATTTGGTGCTTGATCGAGAAATTGAACTACCACAACATATTCCAACGCGATATCGATGAGGTCTGGAATTGGTCAATGAGGAACACGCCGACATTCAGTACGGACAAACGTCGAGGTGTTCACATTCACCACCCATACACCTACATCTACATGCTTAGGTCGGATGGTCTGAAGAAAAGCTGTCAGGATCGTGACTTTGGTGTACTGATAGAGGACAACTTAGGTTGTTCAAAGCAGTCACAGTATACTTCAACACGTGGTAATCTGTATGTTGGTCTTTTACGGAGGGCACACGAGAGTTTGGATTATTCCATATCTTTTCTGATGTTCAATGCCTACCTGAGTGCACACGTTGAAACTTGGTTACATGTGTAGTTGATGTGCCGATGACCACACAAGTTCCTGTGACGAAGAGTCTCTAGCCTCCGTGCTAACTTCGTTAACTGGAACGGCTGAAAAAACTCAGAGACCTCATAATGGTATGCCAAATACTGAGCGATCCCAATCACGTAGACCGCCGCACTCTGAAGCTCAGCTTGGAGGTAGTAGACTGATATAAAGTCAACAATACATTCGTTTAGATCGTTAACAAACTGATTTCTGTCTCTTAGTCTGTCAACCCTCGAACACTCTTCCAAAGTCCATTGTTTGCGCCTCCACTATAGCCTATTTCAAAAAACGTTTAAAAACCGTAATAAGCTCCCTACAGTTTGTTACATAGACCGTATTACATTCCTTTCCACTAGCACTCTAGAATTATAATTCACGCCCAGGTAAGTAAAGCATTGCACACAAGTGGGCATTTCAAGTATGCTTTCCAATGAGGAGGAGACAACATACTAACTTATATGTCCGTTGCTTGTAACATCTCCTTCCCATGCTGCTTTACCTGATGCAAGTTTTATTTTGTCCATTTTTGTAGTTTCTGGTTTCGGTATTCCTGCTTTTACCAACACGCAGGACCTGTTGCTCCTATTTGTTTGTATCCGTCATTAACCATTGTTCTGTTGTAAACATTGTTAAGTTTCTTCAGAAGCTAGTAGGTCATCATACCGCAGACTTGTTGGGGTGGATAAAGACAAATGTACTTTCCTAGGGTCCTCAGCCTAACTTGAAATGGCTGCTGGAATAAACACTAGACTCATTTGGCGTCACCTGTTGGTCAGTCCCGAGGGTAGCGATACTCGGCTTCTGTCAGATGTGCAAGAAATGGGTAGCCTAATCCACATGAGGCTACACGCAGTTATTAAGCATGAGCGATAGAAACTCCCGAACTGATTATGCAAACGAGTGATGTATAATTCAAGGTGTCTGATGCATCGCAATATTTTGTGTAGCAAAGATTTTCATAAACCACTACCACAACATCCCACTTAAGGTAGATCACATGTGGAAAATTCTGCTTAGACTGATTAAACTCGGGTATTTTCTTAAGCTTCTTTTTAAGGGTTGGATACCCGGCTACTTTCCTTAGTAGTCAGTGAAGTAGAATGAGGTAACCCAGGCGATCGAAGTCTTCTAACGAATGCGGGTTAGTTACATCGATTCCTGTCTCTCCGTCTGCGGTTTCCATCGGACTATCGCGCGTAATCAGTAGGCTGGCAGTACATGATCAATGCTGATATAAACCGTCCTCCTCTGGTGCAACGGTATGATAACCTTCTAGTTGGTCTACTAAGGCTTTTATTACTTTTGAGAACACAACAGGTAGGATCAATGGGTGGTGGTTTCCGGATTAGAAACGATTTTGTTTTTACCCAGCTTGTATTTTTAGTTACAAAACTCATTTGGACGAAGTGCGATAAGGGCTAGGCTACTTCTGTTGGCTCGACGTTTAGCGCCGTTAGAAAAATGCTATTGCTTCCAAGAGATGTGTAGGTGCGCAGTGAAAGTAGTTTCCTTAACGCAGTTGTAGAGGCGAACGGGCGTGAACATATCATGAAGTTGGATGTAGGCATGCAACACTTGCGGACTTCAAATTGGAATTCAGGCATACAGCCTCCCCATCCACTCCGACTCTTATGTTAGTGAGGAACTACCGTGCATCATATTTCAAAAGCTGTCAGCAAGCAAACATGCAAACTATTAAGCTAAAATGGAACACGGTAGCAATAAATGTTTCAAGTGGATTAAAAAATTCATTTTACAACACCTGACATTTTCTCTGTGGGCATTTGTACAGGCAAAACAAGCTGAAAGGAGACGGATTTGAAACGGATAAACAAGCGCTCGAATCTATTGACTGGCAGGATAGCCAGAATGTGGCATCGCTGGTCTCCTTCTACCGCCACGCCACTATGGAGATGCATTGCAACAGCTCAATTGGAATTCGTATACCGGTAAGCAGGAACTAAGACAAAAGTCTAAGGGCTTTTGTCTGCATCGTTTTTCTGGTGCTGCAATGGGGTTAACTTAATTAATCGACGCGCTGTCCACTGAGCCGTTGGCAAAGTGGCTTGTGAGCAGAATATTTGAAAATCGCTACTTTTGGGCTACTAATATTGAAGCATTGCTTTCTTAAATATATATTAGTAATAATAATAGCAAGCTCAAATGAAGAATTCAAGCAACACAATAATATCTTATATGCGATGCAACAGTAGGAATGTGTGCAAAAATAACATTAACCCAGCCAAATGATTGCAAGTTTAAGCGTTTTATTGCCAAAAATGACTCACACTGGCTCAACTAAAACTAATGTATACATGACATGGTGTACAGTAGACACGAATATGTATCATCAGTGAGATGGTAAAGGATTTTCGGCTTCTGTTTGTATGGAACAATGATTTAGTATGATCGGTGGTATTAAAGCACCGTATTAGGAGTCCTGGGATAACGGGCTATTGAATCAGATGACGGTTTGGTACCAGTGATGAATCTTACATCCAATTTTACTAATGGAAAATTTTTCAGTGTCAACTTAAACCAGTTGGTTGTTTAAGTATTAAATGTATAAATGACTCCGGTAACTAACTAGCCGACTTCATAATGAACATTGAAGCGTGCCTAAGACGTCATATTAATCCGAACGGAAGGATTAATAAAAGCTGCCCAAGGGATTTTCCATCCAACATAACCTCATTTAGGTATGCGCAGTTTCTGAGATCTGGGTGTATCACCAGGTCAATTAAACTAGATAGTTAATTTCAGGGAATTCTTACTGCTAGCGGCATTTTATTAACCGTTATCAATAGCTGAAACAAGTTAAGCAAATAGTGGTAGACATCTAGTTCTTTTGATGTTGGTTAACTTGAGAATTTCTCACCAGAACAACACAACGAGGAGCTTAGTTATCATTGAGACTCCTCATTTTATGACACCAGCAAAATCAATAACATGTTGTCTTCAAGCATTTAATATTTGCTTCGCTTCAGGGGCCCGCAATCCACTGGTCACCGATTCCCTTACTCAAATGGACCCAGCCGTTTTAGGTCTTGACCTTCTCTCGTCGAGTGGAACAAAAGTTTGCGAACGCTTACTGTGAATTTCAGTTGAATGGTCGTCTCATTTGCTTTCAAATGTTTAATTGAAGCAGTTCCAATAAACTTTGTGAAGTGAGAACGTTGTCCCTATTTTATTCCGAAAATTAAATGGCCACTTGGTGTGCAGAAGTGAATACTGTTGAAATATGGTGTTAATTAAACACGCAGTCACCTAGAGGGACAGCGTGTGAGTTTTACGTATTCTCGCACCCTATTAATGACGTCGAGAGAGGTGAAAAAATATCAAGATACCAGGATAACAAATGTGAAAGAAAGATAGTTCATAAACGCTCTATTGACGATATTTATGTGGCACTGTCCATCAAGTTCCTTTAATGCTCTTGAGTGAAACGGAAAGTAGGAGGTCCCGTTTTCACAGCCAATGTTTTAACACGACTATGATTGTTGTTGAAGATGGTCACATAACGTGGACACCCTGCTACATTCCTATTATCAATATACCACTTGCAATGAGACTGTGACATGTGAAGCGAGCACAATTATACTTACACACACTAAAATAAAATAGAGGATATTCACCAAATGATAAACCCCGGGGCAACGAGATGATAGGTAAAAAGAAGGCACTATTTGAATGGATTCATCCAAGCCCAAATTATTTTTCGCACTGTGCAGTAAGATTTGTAATTACATGGACAACGGGTTCCAGACCTGTCAATGAGAGTTGATGTGTTCGTTTTCTTGTAGCCAGTATATCAAGAGCGTAACAAAGCCACACTTGTTTTAGGGTGTTTTATGCTGGAAAAATATTTCATGTCGTACAAAACTTCACCCTTGCATTATAATTGGTAAAAAGCCGATCCTCGAAGGAAACAATTCGATCTAGTGAGTTGTATTCAGTGAAACATAAATCAGCTAATCACGGACTGATACTGCTTAGTAGAAGCAAGTAAAAAAAGAACGACGATGGCATAAAATCATAACTGTTAATTGACTTCATCATAACCTCGCGTTTCTACCGGTCTGGTGCGCTGTTGTAGCAAACGTGTTGAACAGATTGTCTTTAACATCTGCTGTATATTGACTATATCCCCAGCTGAGGCTGATGTTGCATTCTTGATGCTCCTTCACCGCAGTTCGCCTAAACCAACTTACACTTAAAATAGGTCTTTTCAAGCTGGCTAAATTTCATTCCACTTTATTTGGTTTGTTCTGCTTATCTGAATAATCTTCCATTAACTGGCCACGTTGCTTACAGTAATTGCGATTATCTTCGATGATTGTTGCGTTTGTAGCTTTTTTAAATAAATTGTGGACATTTTTCCTTATCGCGGATTCGTTACTAACCACCTTACTTCATATGCTATTTTAGCGAAGAGGTATACCAACGTATCTGCATGCATTATTGGATTTGTTTTATTTCATTTTGTGGTTTCAGGTGAATGGCTGTTGCTTGATATCCCCGGTGTGGCTGCACTTGATGTGCATGTTGACAAGGTGCCTACCTGCCTATTACCCACTACCTCGTCCATACTGGCTTTAGGAGACAGTTGGTCGTTGCTGGAGGGAACGGGGTGCACGGTCCTTGTGGCCGTGTTAGGATCAAAGTGGTTCTATGCACTAAGTGTGGAGCGGACTACGGTCCAGCCACGGCCTTGGGTGCGCTTGATTCCCCAAATACAGCGTGCTTGTGTTTACGTGTGAAGGAGTGTGGGCCGGCTCCGTTGATGAAACGTGGTTCCCATCCGCATGCCTCCCGGTCTTATTCCTTCGTGCTTGCACTGTATATGGTGTGTGTGGTTGGAGCTGTGGATGGTGCAGCGCAAGCCATCCATGGTCCCGCTGTAGGCGCAGGCTTCCTGTGGCTTGCCACGATGACAGGGAAATCCGAAACCGGTTGTCGCCAACCATATTGACTACGTCTACCGGTATCCGTCTATGCGTAACAGCGGGATGCGAGCAACATTGATTCAACAACCTGACGCTAAACGATCCATTAGGTCTTCTTGTCACGGGGCAGCGCACCTATGTCATGTCCCTTTAGTTTGCCGTACTTTATTGATAGTATTTAACTCGAGTTCAACTTTCCCCACACAATGGAAGGGATAAGCACTTTTGATGCAGAAGTCAGTTAAGTGCGAACAATCCTGTGTGTCTAATAATATACGCAGAGTTGTAAGACGTCGCATAAATCACGTGTTAACCATTTTCAGATGACGGAAATCACCTCTGGTGATGCCCATATAGTAGTTTGCCATTAGCGCATCGTTTGCTGGCTGAGAGCACACCTTAGAGATTCATGGCTCAGTACGGCTTTGGGGCGTTGGAAGTTATGTGAAATCCACAAAACCGAACATCGTAGTACGTATTGTGAACACCAAGCACGAAGTGCTCCATACTACAGCGTCATTGAAAAGTGGATACATTATTCGGATATCTAATGTCAATGAGTAAAATCTACAGGGAATGGTAAGGTGAATGAGTACCAGAAATAGATCAGCCCCTTTCGAAGAAAACATTTATCAAACACATGCAAGGTTACCACAATACAAGCCGTTTTATCTTCAGTATATTGAGACAGTCCGCTCCCAATACCCCCCATAGGCGCATGGTTACGAACTTAAAGGGGACTATTCGGAACAGCTGGAAAATTTAGGTTAATTAGTTAAAAAAGTGTTGCTTTAGTTTAAAGCTATGTAACGATAGGCTTAACTTATTCAGAAGGGCACCTAAGCTTATTGATGGGATATAACTGATGGAAATTTTATGCAGTTGCTTCGTTTCCATAACCGAATACCTTAAGTACCGAGTGACAAAATTCAGGGTTCAATTGGCTTATCGACAAGATGTGGTTAAATTTGCCATTGTGAAAGTTAACACAAACTAAGAGGATAACTTTTTGGTGTTGCTTGTCAGCAAAATTACAATCCATGGCCGGCCTCGTATTTTGCTACACTTGCGCGAATCTAACTCCTCGTGTGACAATCTACTTGCCAGCTACAAATAAGCTATACATTTATTCATAGCAAAAGTGAAAGTTGAATTTGGGACGTTAAGGCTGCTAGGCGAAGCCCATTGTCTCAGGCCACAGACTGGCTTGCAACGCATGGTACAGCCATTGGTGACTCAAATGAGGTGTCCGTTTGAAGTAAGAGTACTGTGCGTACAGTGGAAAATGGTACAAACGGGTATAAAGCCAAGACTAGACAGATCTGTGTAGGAAATAACGAAAATCGTCTGTTTCACGTATGGTTCCAGCTGCCGAACTGATGAAGTTTCATTTTCATGGGAATAGCGGTTCAGATCTAGACTGCGAGTGGATAACGTTCACAACGCTAGTAGTTCCAAATAACTCCTTCAAGGAGCTGAGTGGCGGTAATTGAAGATACAATCGGGGTACAGAAAACAACTTGGCTTTCTGATTGGTTGCGTCTGTAATCAATCACACAGTGCTAAATAAGGTACTGAGAAGTTGGCTAGACTCTTCAACTATGTTTCCGATGCATCCCTGATTGATAAGATAGTAGCTGGTGACAACAATTTACCGCACGTCGAGTTCCACTCAAACTGGACCTTTAAAATACATAGCTCTTTTAGACCCTGTTAAAACATGTGCTCTAAATCAGCACGTACGTGCGGTTATTTTTCGCAATTGGCATCTCCCTCGTATTCGAGGATGTACTAGACTACATACAAGGTAACGACCAAAAGATAGTAAAACTCTGCTTCGTGCTAATCAGGTCGAGAGTACTGGTCAAGAGAGAAGTGCCCTATTAGCGGCCAATGAAACGCATTAGCTGGTATAGCTTCTGTGTACTTCTCAGGTCGATGGATTGGCATGGATTCTTCCTCCCAACTACTGTTAATGTTGTGAGATGGTTGGCAGCAAACAGTTCCGGATTTGCCTGATAATGTGACCTCCATAAGACAGCCACAGGACGTCTACGCCTAAAGAGGGACCATGGTGGGTTGCGCTGCAGCATCCACAGCTCAATCCAAAAAAACCCACACAGCAGTGCCCGTGCTTTGACTTTCATTACCTGCAGTGATTATTGTCTACTTAGCTCTGTGCGAGGTCCTGAACATAAGTTACAACAACTCTTTCCCTGACGCCCATATGATACGCCGGGCACTTGCCTAAATATGCTATTCAGCATGGAATTTGATCTGCAAACTTTAACAAAAGACGATTAGCTGGCTAAAGCTGTTCTCCCATCATGGTCCTCGTGGCTTGTCTTAAGTGCTTCCGACGCAATTGGGTCCAGAGACCCCACTTATACTCCTAAACACTTTCTAGTTTTCAATGCAAAACTATACCTTGCATGACATTTGGAAGCACGTGGTTATTCTACTAAGACTCAAAAGTAGCTGCCGTCAAAACCGCGATAACTACCGTCCATTCAGCCACACCCTTATCGCGTCAAGGCTAAATGTCGTTAAAGAGCAAATACTTGACCTTCTTTTGCCACTCTGCCTAAGCAGTAATTTTCAACATGAATTTTTAGCAAACAAGTCCTGCCAGACATACCAATTTGAGTTTGTAGACCTTGTGATTCAAGGAACAGATTCAGGCCATGGGTTTGTTACATCTTTGTGATATAAAGAAAGCTCTCGACTGTTTCCCACATGCTGAGTTATTTACTAAGCACCCGTTTTTCAGCCTATCGCATCAGATTTTGCAATGGTTTTAATCACACTTTACAGGGAGAACACAATCGGTAAGATAGAGCATTGCACAATCGAAGAAAACGTCTGTAAGTAGCGGCGTTTTTCAGAGTAACGAACCAGGTCAACTACTGTTTCTACTGTATATCACCAACCCATTTGATTGCTGCACCTACGGGAGGTCATTCCTGTTTGTAGATTCTTTGTGTGCTGCATTCTCACTCGGGGATACTGTAAAAAGAGATGGTAGGTCTGATATTCAGATCGATCTTAGGGCTATGCACCGGTGGTACGAAAGCTGGAAAATGGAGTTTTCGCCCGTT